CTGCCCCAAAGCCAGAGCTGTTTGCTTGGACCAGACGGTCCTGCCCTGGGTGGGGGGGATCTGGTGGGCTCCCCTGGGGTGCTCTGGCTGGTGGGGGTCCGGTGGGCTCTCGCTGCCCCAAGCCACTGCTGAGCTGCTGTTTCCCTGCAGTTGTGAGGAAGCTGCAGGAGTTTGAGCTGCCGTACGTGTCCGTCACCAGCCTGCACAACCCCGAGTTCAGGATCATCCTGCGCAAGAGGTGAGCAGCAGTGGGGTGATGTCCGGAGCTCCCTGCGCTGCAGAGGGACCCTTCCCCTCCTGCCCTCGCTGCCTGTGGGGTGCTTTGCCCCCCAGGAACATGCCTGGGTGTCCCCGGCCATGACACCAGGGACTGGACTGCCCTGCTGGGGTCTTTGCCCCTGTTTACACTTTCCCAGACATGGTGGCTACTGGGGGAACTGGCCAGAGAGCCAGCCCAGCGCCTCGTCCCAGCGTGGGGAGTGTTTTTCTCCCCATCACTGTTTGGAGCTGGGGAATAGGTAGTCCCGTGTGATTCCCTCCTAGCTACTGGGACTCCTCCTATGACGATGACGTAATGGAGCATCGTGTGGGGTTGAACTTGCTGTATGCACAGGTGAGGGTCGGTGAGGAGGGGCACCATACCCCTCAGCTGCGGCTGTGCCCGGATCTCGGGTGCCTCTGGGTCCAGCTGCTCACTAGCCTCTCTGCTTCTCGGTAGACGGTGTCAGACATCGAGCACGGATGGATCCTTGTCAACAAGGAACAGCACCGGCAGCTGAAGTCCCTGCAGGAAAAGGTCTCCAAGAAGGAGGTAGGAGAGGGCAGGATGCTGTGAGTGGGGCAGTCCCAGCCCTGGACTGGCACCTCTCCCCTCTGAGCGCCTGGCGCTGGGTTCGCTGCCTGTTCCTGGCCCGGGAGGCGCGGTGGGAGGGCGGGCGGCTGTGCTGAGCTTCCCTGGCTGTCCCCGCAGTTCATCCGCCTGGCGCAGACCCTGAAGTACTACGGCTATCTCAAGTTTGACCCCTGCGTCACCGACTTCCCCGAGAAGGGATGTCACGTCGTCGTCAGCGCCGGCAATCTCAACTTCCAGGTGCGGCTGCCGAACGAGCAGATCAAGGAAGGCAGCTTCAAGGTCACGCGCATGCGGTGCTGGCGGGTCACATCCTCGGTGAGTGTCGCCTGCCTGTGGGGCCCTGGGGAGCAGGGAGGGCTCCGGCGGGTCTGGTGGGACCTGGCTGTGCCAAGCTGCTCTGGCAGATGAGGTGCTGAGGGACATGGGTTAG